TGGCGTTGTATGTGTGCATTAGGACCTGATGGCAGGTTAATTATACTGGACCGAAATTCCATGGTGAAGGAGAAGAAATTTGTCTTCTCCAGAGTAAAGTTGCATTCTGCATTCAAATTTTCTTTCTCTGCTCTTCATGCCTGTGTTCAAATATGTAGACTTCCTGAGTGCTTTTAATTTACTATAGTGGTATCCCATGTAACTTGCCTTCAAACAAGACACTCACATGAAACGGGAAGACAAGAGACTGCTGGCCATGCCATTCATAAGTTCAAGGTCCAGCTTCATTCTCATTTCTTTGAAGAAGTCTTTTTGAGTATAACTCTTTGGTAATCATTACTTCTTCTCAATTTGTAGTGCTTACATTTTTATATCATTTAAATTATCTTAGCACTTACTATCTTGTTCTATCATTCAACTTCCATGTGTACATCCTGCTTTATTATTAGATTTGAGCTTTTTATTTTTTATTTATTTGTCAGAGAAAGAGAGAACACAGGCAGGGAGAATGGCAGGGGAAGGGAGAAGCAGGCTCCCCACTGGGCAAGGACCCCGATGTGGGACTCAATCCCAGGACCCTGGGATCACCACCTGAGCCCAAAGGCAGAGGCTCAATTGACTGAGCCACCCAGGCATCCCATGGCTTGACCTTTTTATTTTTTTATTTATTTTTTTGACCTTTTTAAATAGAATCTTATCTCACTGTTTTCTCTTGGTCTAACAGAATATTTTGCACTTAAAGATTGTTTGTTGATGACAACCATATTCACAGAGCCCTAAAATTGCTTGTGGTTTGCAAGGGCACTGAAGCCCCAAGCCCTCCAATAAAAATTCCCTTTGTCAGAATGTTTTATTTTTGTAAAAAGGTTAGAATTGGCTGAAAGAAGTCAAAACCTCTCTTACCAAGTAGCCAAGGTCCAGGAACAGTATAAGGTCAGCGGACACTCATGTGGTCTTAGACTCTTCCTATCACTTGCATAATTGTGTGTCAAATGTTTGTATTGAAAAAGCAGACAAGTTATTTTTATCTTCTCTTGTGAAAGAAAAATAGTTCCTCCTCTTCTCTGTAGCTTGCACTAATTTCTAAGAAGATAATAAATATAAAAGTTTATCTACTGACTTCCTAGAATATAAGCTCCAGAAGGACAGGAATTCTCCCACTCTCTCTCTCTCTCTCTATTTTATTCTAGTATTTAGAAAACTGCCTGCCATATAATAGGGATTTGATAAGTAGGTCCTGGTTCTTTAATTGTGTGTGGTTCAGTTGTGTTCAACTGTGTGGGCTTTTCAGTTAAAAACTCTTATCAAAACCAATACACAAAACAAAATTAACACAAAATGAGAGCATTATACAAGTAAATGTATTTATTTTAAGGTCTTTCCATAGAGAAAACCAGAAACATTGTGAACATTGGTATCCATCTAAGAGACATAGATTAGCAACCCGTTTGTAGACAAAGGCATGTGGGAGATAGGAATGTAAATCTCCAAATTCACAGATTTGCCGAATCCAAAAATTGCGTTCAATTTTTTCAATTCAGTTCTTCCCTTCAGTGAACTAAATAGAATATTCCAAATAAATTATAAATAGTAGCTAATGCCATAAGCTTATTTAGGGAAACCCAAACCTGATTTTCAAACCTGATGATAGCCCGGCTTTTTAGAGTGATTCCAGTTAGTGCTAAATGACTTCCCTAAAAAATCCTGTAACAGCGGTTTAATTTAAGATTTCACTTAACCAGGAGGCCAGGGGAGTCTACTTCATAACCTCATTTCTGAAAGTTGACTACTCTGTATACATGCTTTTGTACTACTTGAAAAACCATTTGACAGAGGGCCTTGAAAGAGTAGAACAGGATATTTCCTAACTAAGAGAACAATTTCAAGAAATGACCAGTTTCAGTTTGGAGTTCTCTAAGGGTTTGTTTCACCTTCGTCATTGATCTTTCCGTTTGAAGTGTTCATTTACCATCCTGACATAATCTAGGGCCGCACTGCATGATGTTGATGATACTTTTGTCAACGTGAAGAATGCGGGGCCATTGTTACAGAAATCGTACAAGAAACAGAGACCTTAATATGTACCATCTGTTTTACAAAAAAGCTCAATGTGGTAATGCATTTGCAATACCAGAAGCAATATCTCTAAGACATGAAATGAACATATGTTGTCTAAGAGCCTTCAGGCTGACATTGAAAAAGAGAAAAGATAGTACTTCAAGGCAAATACTGTCCCAGTAGAAAGACTGCCAGATCCAATATGGCTCAGCCTATTGACAAGTCTCTGGTGAACAACTTCATATAAAGATTTTCACATTGTTATGGGTTGTACAGCTCTCTGGCCCATCTTTTTCAGCATGGGTAAAATAGTAGAAAACACTCTCTTTGTCACTCTGGGTACTTTTCTGTTTCAGAGCAACAGATGTTGTCAGAAAAAGTCACACCACACAATAAAGTGCTTGAATGATTATTTCTAAGGCTGGAGGGAAACTGAAATGGTGTCTTCTGATGAGGGAGCAGGTAGTTTTAAGAACAGCTAAAAAATGCAACTAACTGAAAGCTGTACAGAAACATTGAGCTGTTTAGCAAAAGTTTAAATTATAAATTTGATGAATGGTAGCTTATACAGTTTTCAAATATGTATTGAATACAACTGAAAATTCTGACCTAATTTTTCTAGATTAAACTCTAATGTAAAATTATATTTTACAATGTAATTTTTTAGAGTGAGAGAGAGAGAGATGGGAGGGAGGGGCAGAAGGAGAGGGAGAGAGAATCTTTAACAGGCTACATGAGCCTGACGCAGGGCTCCATCTCGTGACTGACCCTGAGATCATGACCTGAGCTGAAATTGGGAATTGGCTGTTTACCCAACTGAGCCACCCAGGTGCCCCTACAGTGTAAATTTAAAATGTATGTACACTCATGAATATTCAATATGTGCATAGCCCATAAGTCTATATATATGTGTGTGTATGTGTGTGTGTGTGTGTGTTATATTTGTATACATGACCATCAAAAAAAATTGCAAAGGTCAAATGATGGATTATTAAGGCCTGTGGAAGGAAGAGTTAACAGCTTAACAAGTGTAGTTTGCTTATATTTCAGTTCCAAAGATTCAGTATGGGTTTAAATTATATTATGCCATAATCAGACTTAGCTCTTCATAACTATGTCCATATGAAATAGAAGCCTTACATTAAAAAAAAAAAAAAAGAGAGAACAGTTGAAGAAATATAGCAGTGGACCAGGAGCCAGGAGATCTGGCTTCGAGTCTCCAATATCCTTGTAGAATGTGCATGACCTCAGGTAAAGCTGACCCGGGTCCCCCTTCAAGGCCTTGGTTACTTTAACTATGAAGAGGCATGAACTAAATGACCTTTAAGGTCCTTTCCAAATTTAAAAATTAAATTGTAATTACAAAGAGACAATCATATATTGTAAAATAGCAGAAAAAAAGGTGTTTTATGTATAAAGTTAAGATAATTAACCCACTTATTTTATGTAATTTATGTTTAAAGCTATATGTTGATCTATAAGAGATCTTATTTTTTATGTCATTTACATGACTTTACATAAAATTGTGTTCATGTTCATCCTAAATCTTACTTACAAAAAACGTAAAACCCTTCATTGTTACTGGTCTGTTAGCTATTGGGCAGGTAAAAGATAATGGCCAGACCCAGTTACAACCATAGTCCTATGTATTCAGAAGTAGTTCTCGGATGATCATTAATGTAAAGTTATTTTTTAAAATGATCTTATCTTATGTAGAAATGGACTCTATATGATAGCTCTCATGGCCTGCTGAAGATCCAGGATTCATTCCAGACATCCCCGATGCTCTTCAAGTTATGATCCAAGGATGGCTTTAATGAGGAAAGTTTGGTTTTGCTCCAGGGTGTTATTCAAGGCACTGGGTCCATCCTCTTTTGCAATCCACCAATCCCTGCTGTAATAACTCTTTGGATTATGCCTCTCATAAGAAAAAGCTGGATGGTTCATTAATTATTCTCTGGTGTATGCTACAGATAGAAACTCCCAACATAAAAACCAACTTCTGAGCTGAGATTTGTGTGGGAGGCTTTTCCACCCCGTCTTCTGAAGCTGTACTCCTGCTTTCACTACTAATTTTTAATTCCCTGATCATACCCTAAATCTAGTTCCTGGTCACTGTCTCCTCCTTACTATTTTGTTTCATAGCTTCCGGTATTTCTGTTATATATTATGCTACCTAAAAAGTTACAAAGAGCAGTGACTGCTCTAGTCACCCTTGAATTTAGAGCTTTATTCAAACTACTGCCAGGTCTCTTGACCTGTCAACAATCAGGAGTGACCAACAGGAATTCTTTTCTTCATGGTGGGTCAGAGGAAAGCCACTGGTGAAATTCACTTCCAACCACACAAAGTTCAAAGGCGCTGGCTTGAGTGGTGTGTGTGTTTATTCAGGAACATGTGGATCTGATGAGTGTGAGGAGATTGGTGCAGTATGGCTCAGATGCAAGTCGTTGAGTATAATTGATTTTTAATGGGCTGGCTACCTGCCACCAGATGTTCATCAATTAGGTACACTTTAAAAACCAACACAGCTGCTTATTTCATGCTGACTATCCAGTGGCTGAGATAGTGTTAGCTCAGCATAAGAAGTCATCTCTGTGTCGAGTGACCATACGTTCAATTTGCTCCCGACCAGTCATGATGTAAGCTAATAGTTATTAGTAGCGCCTCTTTTTTCTGTCTCAAAATGCCCCAATTTGGACAATTAATCCCATGGGGATCTTACCTATCTGTCATGCTGTTCTTGGCCCTCTACACATTTAAGTTAAATCTCGATCTTGCCCTGTAGCAGCAAGTAATCCATATTAACATCATACACAGGGTAGGTGTTAACCTCTGGATAACATTAAATTTTAGACATGGAAAGACTTTTTAGATTACATTTAGTCCAGTGCTTCCTAAGACCGGTTCATGAATCAGTGAGTTAATTTTCATCAACTTACCTCTGATTCTCCAGTTTTCTCCCTTTGTTCATCCTTTCTCTTTCCTCTTATAGACGGTCTCTGGGGCTGGCTGATTTCTTTATCTTACAGGTAGTGCTCATGGCCAGAGAAGGCCTTTCTTTCCTTTGAATCAGCATCTACCCTAAACTAAGGTGATCAAATGACCTTGTTCTTCACAAAGGAACAATCACTTTTAGGCAAAAAGCAAATAACTTTCCTAAAATATATTATAAGATAATTTAGTTTTATGTCTGTAAGAAAGAACACAGTATTATTATAAAAGGATTTTCTCCCATCCTAGTCATGTCATTTGAGTGTCATAACTTAGCTTTAAAAAAGATTTTAACCTTCTTTATGTTGTTACACTGTGATGCTTTAGATAATTTGCCTACTGGTAATTTTGATTAGAGCTGACCCAGCCCATACCTATGGAGACCACTTTTTCCCTGAATCTCTACTAATCTCCAGGAAATATTTATCCTACCCCCAGTGTCTATTTACACTTCTTCTTTTTTAAATTTAATTTTCATTTTTATCAATGTAATAGATGTAGAGTTTTTAAAAATCATAAAGTTCTAAAATATGTATGAAATATAGCACTCCTGTTCTCCAGTGACAATAACTTTCAATTTTTTTTAGTTCTTTCTTTGTGCCGTTACCTTCATACTATTAAATAACATATTTAATTTGCTGGTTTTTGACTTTCTGTTTATTTTAGACTATTTTAGATTATTTTAGACTTTTTGGTCTATTTTAGATGTTTTACAACAGTCTTCCACTGCTAACATACTTTCCCCATCTTTATCCTCCTAATATCCCACATTGGTGTTTGCAGTGTTACCAATAGGTAAATATTGCTAAAGTTCAAGCTATAAAGTATATTATGATCATATTTTCTTTTTTATACAACTTTTTCTTAATTTGAAAATATGACTGCCTATTTTCCTGCTGTTTCTTTAGTTTCAGTGTTGTTTAGTTTTCTGTGTATTTGTCACTAATTTGACAGCTCCAGCTTTCCCCCAAAACTGTCAATCTCTCAACTCACTCAAACATTTAAGGTAATTGATAGGTTAATTGATAAGTTTAACTTGCCGTTTATACAGTAATGTATACGTTCCTTTTTATTTTCCTTGAAATTGCCTCCTGGAGACTTGGTCCTTTGACTCCAATCTGTAGCCTCAGGAAGGAGGCATTGCTGCTGTTGCTGTTGTTATTCCTTTCATCCATTGTTAATGTGGAGACATCCAAGGCTGTCATGATGTCTGACTTACCACAAATTTAGTGCCTTAAAACAACACAGAATTATCTTAGTGCTCTGGAGGACGGAAGTCTACGATGGGTCTCCTGAGCTAAAATCAAGAGGCCTGCAGCCTCCGTTCCTTTTGGGAGGCTCTAGGGACAAACCTCTTTCCTCACCTTTTCAAAAGGCCTCTGCATTCCTTGGCTTGTAGCCCCTCCCTCCATCTTGAGAGCCAGCGATGGCCTCTGAAGTCTTTCTCACATCATGTCACTCTGACAATGACTCTTCTGCCTCCCACTTCTACATTTACAGACCTTTGGGATTTTTTCGGGCCAACCCTAATTATCCAGGATAATCTCCTTATTTTATGGTCACCTGGTTAGCAATCTAAATCTGCCTTTGCTATTCATAGGTTCTGGGGAGTAGGACACGGACAGCTTTGGGGGGCCATTCTTCTGCCTTACCACAGGCTCTTGGATGCAAATGCAGACTCTTAAACATTCAATTCTTTCCTCAGTATTTCCACTTAGATTTCTGATTGGCATCTGAAACCAAATTCAAAACCAAACTCTTCATCTTCATACTCCATAAACCTGTTCTCCCTTTAGCCTTTCATATCTCAGCAAATAGTCAAGCCAGAAATTCTAATTGCCAAAACAAATGATTGATACCTTACATATTCTTATATCTCATCATGTCTTTCAGTAAGTTCTATTTGTTCTGTTTTCAAAATATATCTAGAACTCAGCACTTCTTCCCACCTTGCTTCCATACATCCAGTTGCCCAAGAGAGTTCTTTGAACATTGTAAATGTTATTAAGTATTCCGTGAATGACCTAGTGAATGGATGTAGTCCTCCCAATAACATGATCACATGAATAACTATCTTCTATGCTGGTTTATGGTTTTCTCTTTGTTTGATTATGTTTTATCTGTATTTCAGATGATAATTTTATTAGTCTATATACATCTTTGATAAACAAATATTTCTTCTCAGTGCAAACTAAGGAATACATGGTTCAGTCAGAATTCTTAACTAAAAGCAACACAAATTATTGACTTAAATAGTAATAAATTTATTGTAAATACCTGTGGCAGAAAAAATTGGCAAGAGGTTTAGAAAAGCAGGTCCTGAATGTAGGTAGGACTCAGAGCAGCTACATTATCCACTCTGGCTCAGCTGCAACCCTATTATACAAAGATGAGTGCTTGGACATAGGCTTTTCTTTTATGATTTTGGATTTTTAAACGTTATTATTTATAGAGTTTTCTTTCTAGCAATATTAGTTTTATATGACAACCATTCTTAATCTATCACATCATTAAATTAAGGGGGAAACATGATGAATTGTAAATGAAAATGACACAAAGGATAAATGCACATGATTTGGATTTAATAGAACTTCTATTTGATGTTTTAATCATCTTAAATTTCTCTGATGTTATAATCAATGACCTCTTATTTTTCTATTTCCTCTCATATAAGTTGTGTTGATTTCAAAGAGAAGTTGAACATTACATTTGATATTTTTGAACTTTGATTACCTAAATATCAAATGTTTTTGAAAATTAAGATTTCCAATAATCAAATAATTCCCTGGGAATGAGGAGGACACTAAAGGACAAGATATGGCCCTTACTTCTTCGCAGTTGAATGCTGTTCATATTAGATTACATTTATTCTAAATGGCCAAACACGGTGCTGTTCCAACCTAGTTTGCAATGCATGTGACTCGCACAGTTATTAGTAGTGGGTCAAACAGTGGTGACTAATAAGGCTAATAAGACTTATTCTATGTTGGAGCTAACAAATCCTTTATCAGTACTTCAACCACTCTGCTTATGTGGCCTCATTGTTAAGATTATGCCTTTCATCTATGGAAACCAATCCCTTTCATATACAATTTCAGCAAGAAGCTTATAAAATGTGTATTAAAGCAGTATTGACTTGTCTAACAATAAAAAGTACAATTAGGATTCCAACACAGAGCATTTCTAATTTGCATAAAAACCTCTCTAACCTATTCCTTTTACTGCAGAATATAACCAAAAGGTTATATTCTGTTCCATGCACCAGTAATTACTCTAAAATCACTAGATAGATGTACCTATGTAATATTGTTCAGTTCTTTATGCAGATCATTAAAACTGAATTTATATGCAAGATATATCAATAGGAAAATACTAGTAAAATCATTAGAAGAAATGACCAAGCACAATGGATTCCTTTTACATAATATCACATAATGTCATAATTTAAGATAGTTTCTTCCTTGAGAGCCACTGTCTTGATAAAAATCATTCCAAGGGTAAGACTAAAGACATACTTTCATCCCACCTTTTAATTGGGGCTTCCAGTTTACACAATGTATAATTTTAAAAGATCACTTTTAATCATCGGAAAGGGTCATTATGAACAGACTTTATGTTAAAAAAGAAAAAAAGTAGGTAAACTGATCTGCATCTTGTGATTACTTTAAGAATACTAGAAATATTCATAATGGAACATTTTTTATTTCAGAGCCCAAGTTGTTCCTCGGCCATGTGTGACCCTTGTCACAGAAACACGTCTCTCTTGTATACCTGAGAATTTTCATTCCTCTTCTAAAACAATGGAAACTTGTGTGATTCTTGTGTTCTTTGATTTCCTTAAATGACTCCCAGGAGGAAGAGTTCAGACCATGACTGATTCTCTACTTTTTTGCAAAGGCGGCATGAGAGTGGTTTGTGACCACTGCTGATGAGCCTTCCCATGGCTGTTTAATGAAGAGCAGCGCCACTCCACCGGGGTAACACAGAATGACATTGCCTCAGGTCACTTCAGGGCATGTCACATCATGTAACACAACATAACCTGATGTAACCTGATCCAACAGGTCAGGTGCCTGTTGCCTATTTGTAGGAAATAACTTTTTACTTCTCCTCCAGAAAAGGGCCATGTCACCACGCATAACGAAATGTCAGTTCTAGCTCTGGGTGCAAGGAATACCAGTAGAAATCACTTCCTTCCTTATGACAGTGGATTCTGTTCAGCTTGAGTTACTTAGAGTGCATGTCATTAACAGGACTGGAGTTGTGATTATTGAAAGTGAATTGAAGGAAATCTGCCTTAATTAGAACAAATTTAAGACTGGACCAAAGTCATAGTGGAGACAGAAGGCTGTATTTTTAAAAACAGCTATAGAAGCAGGAAAGGGGAGAGAATGAGTTATGAAATAAGTTATCATTTTAACAAAACAGCATTTTTTGCAAAAGAGAATTAGATATTCTAGAAAAAAACAAATGAATGGTGAAGTGAGTTTTTTTTCTTTTAAAACCGATTAATCAATGTACTTATCCACTGTGCTGAGTGCATTTATGTATATAAAGAGGCATGATCCTTGTCATTTGCCTTCAGTAGGCTTAAGCGAATATAGAAACAAGACAGGTATACATTGCACACCTGAGATTGTAAATGCAACCTCCAGGCTCTCGGCTGCATGTTCTAGAGAAGGCGAAGAAAGAACAGAACATTGCCTGGAGTAGGAAAGAAAGTCTCAGGGACTTCAATTTATTATGAACTGCTTTGAGTTTAATGTTCTAATCTCACAAGGAGATCCAAGTCAATTACAGTGTTCAAAATACATGTAGTTGACTAGGAGTGGTGAACTTTAAAAACATCTAACCTAAGTTTATCAACAAAGGTAAATGGAATTTGCCTTGAATTCTTTGACCTGCCTTAGAAATATTATTTATTTAGAAATAAAACTATAGGATTCATCACTAGAAAATATGAAATGAAAGGAAAATCATATAGCAGTACTATAAAAATTCACTTTTAAAAAGTTAATGCATGTTTATCTATAAGGATCGCCCATATCACCCATTCTTTTTAATGAATTATTCAGTTGACATAAACCTCA